ACTGACCAATGGTGAGCCCATTGAAGCCGGTGTCTCCCGTGCGGTGTGTGACCCAGGGAGCCGTCTCCCTGTCCCACTTGGGGAAAGGCAGTGGGGCATCCTTGCATGGGAGAGAGAGCCCGGCCCTCCCCCACCTGCCTGTGTCCCTGCCCACAGCCACTGCACGCTGGCCGTTGTCTCAGTGGTGCCGCCTCCCCCAGAGCCTGGTGAGCACAGTGAGGGGCCCTGGAAACAGGACGCCCCCCACAAAGCAAGCGTTCCCCCAGAGAGCACCATGCATGCAAGTAGTGAGACCCGTGGACATGGGGGCCCCAACAGCCAGACCAGAAGCCGTCTCCCCTAGCTTGGCCCACGCGCCCAGATGGGGCCCCTGCCCTGTCATGCGTGCCGGGGCGCTCGTGTCAGGGTGCTGGTGGAGTGAAGGTGGCACGTCCCATCCTTGGTCAGCCCCATGAGGCCAACCCTGGTCAACCCAGTGGGTCACTGCAGGGCCTTCCAGGTCCACCCCCGACGCAGGACTAGTATAATGTTCCTGACCCCTGGATGCCCAGGCCAGGCACCTGCAAGGATGAGAAGCACAAGTAAACTGATGCCCTTCACCCCAAATGTCACAAAACCACACGCATGCTCCTCCACCAGAAAAACACATTCCAAGAATCACAGCCCACATCCCCGACCCTTGCAGATTCGCTCTGCTGCTAACTCAACAGTCGCAAGCATAACCGCCTATCTTGGGAGGCTCAGCGTGGGAGAGCCAGGGCCATGTGCCCCCCACTCTCCCAGAGCCTTCCACCTTTTTATCCCCTTGCATCTGCCCTGGTGGGCAGAGCCAGAACACTCCCCACCCACAGCAGTGCTCAGGGTTGGACACAGCCTGTCCCACCTCAGGCTGTGTGTGGCCCATGCCCTCAGGTGGTCTGGGCACTGCTCTGAGCCTTTCCCTGTCTGAGCAGCTGGCTCTCACTGAACCAGGTGGACAGCTTCTCCAGAGGATGGGAGGACAGTGCGCAGAAGGCTGGACCCAGCTCTCCCTGCTGTGTGACCGGGCTCATCACGTGGCCCTTGTAGGCTCAGCTTGCCCTGGTGTAAAATGTGGACAGTGTCGTCTCCCTGTCGCGCTCACAGGTATGAGGGCATGTGGCAGCTGTCACACCTGTGTGTGGACACACATCACGAGAGGAGAGCACAAACAGCAGCAGTGACATGTTACAGTCCACGTAGGCCTGAGGCAGGGCCCAAGGATCACAGACCCAGGTCCCAGTGGATTGCAGTGGCTCCCACCTCACCCTGTGCATCTGTAATGTGCTTCATTCAGTTCCCTGTGAACACACACAGGCATGGGGGACGTCTTCACCACAGGCTAACTGCTCATCCTGGGCGTGCTAGGCTTCTGGGAGTTGTGTAGGCAATGATGGGCCACTCCTAATGCACCAGGGAGCAGCAAGCCAGACCCAGCTTTGCCCAGGAACGGTGGGGTCTCAGTGCTCTGCTGTTTCCGGCATGTGCCCCTTGAAGTGAGGTGGGCCATGTAACTAACTTCCTTTAGTTGAGAAGTGAGTAGAGATGCCAAATTGCTTTCTGTAGAAGCACTTCGAGCCCATGAGTGAGTCTCCGAGCCCTCCCTGTGTGGTGCAAACCTGGGCTCTCGATCCCAGTTCACCCAGGCAAGCATCAGCCCCCATGCCCTGGGCTCCTGGCTATAGTGAGCAGGGCCCCACTGACCAGCAGGAAATGAGCCTGGGATAGTTTAGGGCACCAAGAGTTGCAGGTGTTTGCCAGCGAGGGCCAGCTGTTCCCTGTTCAGGGTACCAGGTATCTGCAAAGCTCTTAAATCGGACGAGAAAGAGCCTGGGAAAGATTGCTCAGAACAGCAATTCAGCTGTGGGGCCTCGGGGCTCTCTCTTATTCCTGTTTCTCCTTCCACTGTGTGGGAGTTAGAAGCCCCCAGTGACAGGAGACCAAGGGGAAGGTTGGAATTGCCAGTGCCACATCCCTGGGGGCTGGGAGCACTGTGGGGTGTGTGGGCCTGAGCCCACTTGAAGCTGTGTGTCTGGTTCTGCACTGTCCCTGAACGTCCCTGGCCGGGCCATGCTCCAGACAGTCCCTGAACTGAAAACAAGCGGGAGGGGTTGTCCTGGAGCACAGCGATGAGGGAGGAGGCAGCATGCACTCCTGGGACTGCCAGGGGCTCTGCCCTCCCTAGGGCCTGCTCGCGGTCCCATAAGGTGACCTGAGCTCCGCAGGCGTGGCCGGCAGGGCGGGAGGGCGGCCTTCCTGCATTCGCAGGCGACCCCAGGACAGGGCCGTCTGTTTCACTTTGATCTGGAACTTAAGGCTTTTTTGTAGCTTCGGTAACCGGGAGCAGGGGAGTCACGGGAGGGCGCGCCCGGGAGCCGAGTAGCAGGGCTGACCTCCTGTGTGCGCGAGTGGCCCTGTAGGCGCGCAAGGGCCTGTACCCAGGGGCCCCTTTGTTGCAACCACACCAAGTGGTGTCTTGAGAGTGCACACGCCAGATGGCCGTGCCCACTCCGGAGAGCCTAGGGGGCGTCCGCCGGTCCCCGCGCCACCCGGGGTTGGGCGCCCGGGCAGGGAGGACCGGGCACGCGCCGCGGTGACCGGCAGTAACCCCGCCCGCAGCGCCTTCGGCCGGGTCAACGCCCGCGCGCGACGCGCCGCGGCCCGCGCAGCGCCCGGGGCCCCCGCCGTCCGGCCAATCACCCTATCGCCTAGCAACGCCCACTCGCGCGCCGCCATTGGGCTGGTGCGCACGCCCCCGGGCTCCGATTGGCCTCGGCGACGGCAGGAGCCACGCCCCCAGCCCGGCTCCGCGCGCTCCGGACAAGGGTCGGTTTGCCCGCGCTTCTCGTCCGGCCCCCAGTGTGGCCCCAGTATGCCCCCCAAAGTTACACTAGAGTGACCCCACAGTGGCCGAAGCACGCCCAGTCCGGTTTCAATCCCGCGCCGTGCATACATGACCCCCAGAGCTTCGGGAGTGGAGGAGGCGTGTGCGCGTGCGCCCTGGGCGATTCCGCACCCCGGCCCATGGGGGTGGGGAACGGAAGTTGGGGGGCAGGGTTGATGCCCCGCCCCGGCGCCCCCCGAATGCGGCGCCCCCGTTGGCGCGTCCCCGTGCAGAGTCCCGGCGCGCGGCGGCGGCGCGCGGCATCACCCCACTGGCGGCGGCGCGCCGGGTCCCTGGGCGCAGCCCCGACGCTCATTGGCCTGGGCGGCGCAGCCAAGCTGTCAGCCCATGTGGCGTGTCCGCGCGGGGCGGCCGCGGTTAAATAGAGTCGGCGCCGGCCTAGAGGGAGCCAGAGAGACGGCAGCGTCCCGGCCTCCTTCCGTCGCCGCGCTGCATCCTCGCTTTCCCACCGCCCGCGCCCAGACCAGGTGCCAGAGGCGAGGCCGGGGGTCGGGGGCCGGGGTCGGGGCGGCGCGGCTAGGCTCGAGGGCACCGTCGGACGGCGGCCTCTGGGCTCACGATCCAGTGCGCCCGTGGTGAGGGGGTCGCCCCGCGTGGCTTGTCCGGGTCTCAGGGTCTGAGCCCCAGATCTGGCTGTGAGAGTCCCCGCGGGGAGCCAGGGGCCGGGGGATGAAAGGCCTGTGCGCTGCGCCCCAGGCCGGCGCGGCAGGTGGGCGGATGGCGAGGGGCGGGAGTCCAGGAACGCGGCGAACAGCCATTTTGGTGTCGGGTGGGCCGGTCAGCGGCGGACCCCAGAAAGCCTGTAGAAGCCCCCAGCCGCCCGGTGTGCGCCCAGCCTACTGGCGCCCACAAAGATCTCCATGCGGGTAGGCCGCCGAGCCCTTCCACCCGCGGCATCGCCCCTTACCCCGGGTGCCGGGTAGCCGAGGCCCAGCCCGATTCGGGGCCCCTGTTCAGCCAAACGGAGTGCCGAGAAGGAGGGAGAGGGCATCGGAGGAGGCCCGGAACCGGGTGGGACCGGCTTCCCCAGCACGTGGGCCCGCCCGGAACCCCGAAGTTCGGGAGGGCGAGCAGTGCAGCCCCGGGGCGGCGCAGGCGAAGACTGCGCTCCGGGGGTCTTCACCCCCTGCCTGGGCTCCACCAGACTCCGCGTGAATAGCAAGTAGGGAGAGAACAGAGCGGGTGCTTTCTGGAGGAAGAAGCTTTCCGGCATTATTGCCTCTGGGCCGGCAAAGGCCTCTTTATTCATCGCTGGGGTGGCAGGGACTCCCTCCCTGCCCAGTGGGGACGCTCGACCACCTAAGGAAGACGCTGCCCTCCACTCGCTCGCGTCCTTTCTCAGAGAGAGACCCGGGAGGGCTGGTGCACGTGTCCACCGGTCATTAGCCCACGAGGCCCTGGGGCCTTGACGGAAGTTGCAGGACCCACGCTGGCCTTGCCTCTCTCTCAGGGTCTGCAGAGGAGCCCCCACCCTGGACCCACAGGCTCAGGGGACCGGATCCCCCTCGGTGCTCCTTCCCACCCTCCAGTCTTGCCTCCCTTTGACCCCCGGCCCCTTTCTCCTTCACCTGCTTGGTTCACTTGGCCAGCTCTTAACAGGCTGCTGGCCAGGTGGCCATGATCCAGGAAGGGTTTGGGCGCTTGTGTGGGATGGCCCTGCCTGCTTCCCATTGTGAGGCCGCCTGCCGGGAGCACTGCAGCAGGAGGTTGCAGAGACCTGCAGACATCTGGGGGAGGTGGGCACAGGGCAGCAAGGCCTTGGTAGGGTCACCCCAGGCCAGGGCCAAGCCCTCCCAGTGAGAGGTGAGGGCTGCCCAGGCCACAGTGGACCGCCCCTGCCACTACATGCACACATGCACCCCCCCACTCCCCTAGGGCATCCATTCGGGCTGGTGCAGGGCCCAGGAGCTGACCACCTTCATCTTGGTTGCAGGGTTTTCTGACTGCTGCTCTCAGACCCATGGGTCCCTGGGCGGGCCGTGTGCTGTAGGGGTCGGGGAGGAGAAGGGAACAGCAGGGCCAAAGGAGAGGCTGTGGACTGACCAGTGTCCTGGCCCCCTCGCCACCCTCCTTCCAGAGAGAGCAGCCATGGAGGAGGTGGTGATTGCCGGCATGTCTGGGAGGCTGCCCGAGTCAGAGAACATGCAGGAGTTCTGGGCTAATCTCATCGGTGGCGTGGACATGGTGACGGATGATGACAGGCGGTGGAAGGCCGGTGAGTGGGCAGCCCTGGGGCTCCCCTGCTGCTCAGGATGCCTGCTTCTCCTTGCTGCTGCTGCTGCAGCCACAGCCTCCAGGCTGCCCGGGGCAGGCCTGCTCTGACCTGAGCCACTGGCCACACTGGAGCTTCCTCCTGGAGATGGCACCAGGAGAAGGCGAGGGGCCAGTGGGAGCCTGGGGCCTCTAGGCGAGTGTTCTGGGGACTAGGCTTCAGCCTACAGGAGGCTAAGGGCTGGCCGGGCATGCAACTTTGCCCGTTTTACAGACGAGCTAGTTGACCTGCTGGGGTCCTGGAGCTGGGGGGAGCAGAGCCAGGGTGAGGCCAGTGGGTGAGAGCCTCCGAACGCCCCCCTCCCAGGCCCCAACACCCGTCTCTGCATAGCCTGGCCTGCCTCCGCTGGCCCACATGTCCCAAGCTGTCAGATAAGACCCCAGGCGCTCTTGGGAAACTGGGTCGACTCCCTCACACCCAGTAGATTCTTTCCGAGAGTGGCTCTACCTGATCTGCGGGATGTGACTCAGCGTGGCGGAGCCCAGCCTGGCTTCAGCAGCCAGGCCAGCGACAACCCAAGCAGAGGGTCTCCAACCAGGACCACAGTGGGTGGGAGGAGGCAGCACTGACCTCACCACGCCCTGTTCTGAGGCCACCACCCACTTGGGTGTCCAGTGGGGCCCATTCTCAGACTGGGGTTGGAGTCACAGCCACATGCTGCCAAGTGATACCCCAGACTTGCAGCACTAATCCCTGCTTTTGGCGTGGCCACCCATCCCTCCAAGGGAGCCCGTGGCTCCCCATTGTAGCAGCGACCCCTCACTCCACTGTCGGTCACTTGGGGCCTGCGATGTTTCACAGCAGGTGCCCTCCCCTGCCCGTGTCCACAGGACTCTACGGCCTGCCCAGGCGGTCTGGCAAGCTGAAGGACCTGTCCAAGTTTGACGCCTCCTTTTTTGGGGTCCACCCCAAGCAGGCACACACTATGGATCCCCAGCTACGCTTGCTGCTGGAGGTCACCTACGAGGCCATCGTGGATGGAGGTGGGTAATCAGGAGGCTGCTGGCTAGTCTGGGGCCCATCCCTGAAGTTCCCACTGCCTCTAGAAAGCACGGGGGCAACGCTCCCTTTTTTTGCTCTGAACACGTGTTCGGAGTAGAACTTCCGGAAACACAGAAGCAATTAAGGAGGAAGCACAAGCTGCCGTGGCTTTCTCCGACCCCTGGTCTGGGACAACTGGGTTCGGGAGGCTGGGGAGGCTCAAGTTTCTCAAGGTGGCTGTCCCTTGTCCCCTTGCCCCAGGGGTATGGAAGGCCCACCCGGTAGGGAGGGGAGGCTGGCTGTGTGGGTGTGGCGCCTCGGCTGGTGGGGGGTCAGGAGCTCAGCCCTATGGGGAGCCTGGGGACCCACTCACTTGGTCCACAGGTAGGGTTTCCTGGTCTTCCAGCTCTCATGGTGTTCTGCAGCAGATGTTAGCCAGCCCCTGGGGCGGACACTGAGCATGACAGGGTTGTGGACACACTCCGCTGTGGAGTGGGGTGGAAGGAAAGTGAGAGGACCCTGGCAGCCGCCCCACTGGGTGGAGCAGAGGCCTTTCTATTGCCCAGGCCCTACCCAGAGCCCTTGGACACCACTCCCTGGGGGCTCATCAGGGGCCCTTCCTCCCTTCGGAACCTGGACACTCAGCCTTTGTCTCCCTCAGCCTCCTTATCTTGGCCTGACCCAGCGCAGGCTGCCCTTGGGGCTTGGGTGCCCATTGGCCCTCAGGGCTCACCAGACCCTGTGGAGACACCAGGGGCCAGGGGAGTAACCTGGGGACAATGCTGCCCTCTGTCCTCACCACTGGCTGTGTTTGGCTGTTCCCTGACCCAGAGCGTGGAGCCTCACCTGGTGCTCTGCTTGCCCCCGCTTACCCCCAGTTCCCTGTGACCAGGTTCTCCGTTCTCGGCCTTACCTGGCCTGGCCGCCCCCTCAGCTCTGCTCCCTCTGCCCTGACCCTGCTCGGGCCCCTCCAGAATGAGGCTGAGACGGAGCCTTCTCTAACACAAGCCAGAGAGGCCGAGAAGGGAGGCCTCACCCTCAGAGCTGGGCAGAGGGCTGGGTGCAGACCAGCGCCCCCAACTGCTGAGTCTGACCGCTGCTTTCCACAGGCATCAACCCGGCCTTGCTGCGAGGGACACACACTGGCGTCTGGGTGGGTGTGAGCGGCTCAGAGGCGTCAGAGGCTCTGAGCCGAGACCCCGAGACGCTGCTGGGCTACAGCATGGTGGGCTGCCAGCGTGCCATGATGGCCAACCGCCTCTCCTTCTTCTTCGACCTTAAAGGTGTGTGCCCACCCCGCCCCTCTGGGCTTGTGTGTGGGCATAATGAGAGCTGAGACCCTTCCAGGCTTTGGCCTTGCCCCACCTCAGGAAGGCCGGCAGGAGCGAGGTTCCAGTGTCCTGGGTTCCACGTGGTGAGCACTCTGTTAGAGCCGCCACGGCCCCAAAGGAGCCCACCCTGCTCACTCTGCCCTTGCCCGCAGGGCCCAGCATCACTCTGGACACAGCCTGTTCCTCCAGCCTGCTGGCCCTGCACAATGCCTACCAGGCCATCCGCAGTGGGGAATGCCCCGCGGCCATCGTGGGTGGCATCAACGTCCTGCTGAAGCCCAACACCTCCGTGCAATTCATGAAGCTGGGCATGCTCAGCCCCGAGGGCGCCTGCAAGTCCTTTGACGAGGCTGGTAAGGGCGGCAGTGTTGGGCAGAGGAGTGGTAGGCCAGCCCAGGGAGGAGGTGGATGCCCCAGGACAGCACCCACATCCCGGCTTCACCTGACACCAGCCCCCGAGCTCTGGCCAACCCAGACCAGGGCTCCCACACTGCCACCCCACCTCCTGGCCTGGGGGCTTGGGGTCAGCCGAGCCCCTGCGCCTAAGGTGCCATCTGTCTTCAGGAAATGGCTACTGCCGCTCAGAGGCTGTGGTGGCTGTCCTGCTGACCAAGAAGTCCCTTGCTAGGCGAGTATACGCCACCATCCTGAATTCAGGCACCAACACGGACGGCAGCAAGGAGCAAGGTGCGCGCAGGCCCATCCTGGGGCGGGATAGTCGCTGCAGGCTGTCAGGGCTGGGGTGCTGAGGCTGGCCCCTCCCACAGGTGTGACCTTCCCCTCCGGAGACGCGCAAGAGCAGCTCATGAGCTCCCTGTATAAGCCGGCTGGGGTGGCCCCCGAGTCCCTCGAGTACCTCGAAGCTCACGGCACAGGCACTAGGGTGAGACCCCCCCCTCCAATGCCCACACCTCATGCCTGAGAAGCGCCCAGGTGGAGTCCTGACCCTCCTCACACCTCTCACAGGTGGGTGACCCCCAGGAGCTGAAGGGTGTCGTCCGAGCCCTGTGCGCCACCCGCCAGGATCCCCTGCTGATCGGGTCCACCAAGTCGAACATGGGACACCCAGAGCCCGCCTCGGGGCTTGCAGCGCTGGCCAAGGTAGGTGGGCTAGTCTGGAGCCATCCTGCCGCTGCCTCCTGGGCTTCTGCCCACAGTTGGAAGGAAGGGCCCCACAGTCTGGCCTTGGGGTACTGGCCTCTGAAGCCCCAAAGGCAGGGCGTGGGCATGTGGGAGGTCCCTGCCCTGGTTCACTGTGGGTCAGACAATCTGCCAAGCACCTGCTCTGCATGCAGCCCAGCCAGAGGGAGCAGAAGGGGCTGGGGCAGGCCCAGGCAGTGCGGCCCACCCATCCCCACAGCCTCTGGACAGCAGATGGGGCTGGGTGGTCTGTGGGGATGTCAGGCACTGGTACCCTAGAGGGCCCAGGTCACCACCTCTAGGCTCCTGGGGACGGCAGGGGCATTCTGTTGCTCTAGGGTCCTTTGGGCTGCCACAGTCACCTGTCCGCAGCTCTGGATCAGGGCCAGGGATAGAGGTGGGCTGAGGGGGCCTTTGTGTCCAGGCCCACAGTCAATTGGCCTGAGAGGTGGTGGGGCCCCAGGTGGGGTCACAAAGCCTAGAGAAGGCACCGGACTTGGGACTGGGTCCTCAGACCCCTGAGTGATGGCGGGGCAGGGGTGGGGGACGGGAAGGCCATCGCAGAGTGCAGGGCCTACAGTGTGGCCTCAGGAGGGGGAAGCACCTGTAACTCACCTCAGCAGGCAGTGCAGGGAGCTCCGGGTCAGCCGCCCCACCAACTAGGAGCCGCCCGCAGGTGCTGCTGTCCCTGGAGCACGGGCTCTGGGCCCCCAACCTGCACTTCCACAGCCCAAACCCTGAGATCCCAGCACTGCGGGACGGTCGGCTGCAGGTAGTAGACCGGCCCCTGCCCATCCGAGGGGGCAACGTGGGCATCAACTCCTTCGGCTTTGGCGGCTCCAACGTGCACGTCATCCTCCAGCCCAACTCACGGCTGCCCCTGGTGCCCACCCCGCATGTGGCTCTGCCCTGTCTGCTGCGGGCCAGCGGGCGCACCTCCGAGGCCGTGCTTGGCCTGCTGGAGCAGGGCCGCCAGCACAGCCAGGACCTGGCCTTCGTGAGCATGCTCAATGACATCGCCGCCACCCCCCCCTCCGCCATGCCCTTCCGGGGCTATGCCGTGCTGGGTGGCGAGGGTGATGCCCAGGAGGTGCAGCAGGTGTCCACTGGTCAGCGCCCACTCTGGTTCATCTGCTCCGGTGAGCCCCCTGCACCCCAGGCCCTCCCGGAGGGTGAGTGGGTGACTGAGACCAAGTATCTGTGCCCCTAACACCTCTCACTGGGACAGGGATGGGCGCGCAGTGGCGTGGAATGGGGCTGAGTCTCATGCGCCTGGGCACCTTCCGCGACTCCATCCTGCGCTCCGACAAGGCTGTGAAGCCCCTGGGACTGCAGGTGTCAGACCTACTGCTGAGCGCAGATGAGGCCACCTTCGACGACACTGTTCCTGGCTTCGTGAGCCTTACTGCCATCCAGGTGGGTGCCCTCAGGGTCTGGGGGCAAATGGGCAAGACAGACAGCTAGGGAGGGAGGTGTGCCCTGGTCTGGTGGCACAGTTGGGTGTGGGCTGCCGTTGAAGTGACAGTGGTCAGCCTGGCATCCCCAGGACTGGAAGGACATGCTCTGTCCCCCCAGATCGCCCTTATAGACCTGCTGACTTCCATGGGCCTGAGACCTGACGGCATCATCGGGCACTCCCTGGGCGAGGTGGCCTGCGGCTACGCCGATGGCTGCGTCTCTCAGGAGGAGGCCATCCTCGCTGCCTACTGGAGGGGCCAGTGCATCAAGGAGGCCAACATCCCGCCAGGGGCCATGGCGGCCGTGGGTAGGGGTCCTCCTCCGCTCCCCCAGCCCACTCCACTCACGGGCCTGAGGCTGGGGGCGTCTTCCCTGGCGCCTCTGATGTCCATGCTGGGCAGAAGCAGGAATGTGGGGTCAATTTGCTGGCCACTGTCTTCAACGCGGAGTGATCTAGACGCCCTGCTTGGATGTTTGCACCCCCTGTGGCCTTCCTCTGCCTGGCGGCCTTGCTGCCCAGCACTGTTGCTGATGGACATGAGTGAAAGCCAGCCCAGTTTTCATAGGAACCTGAGCTGAACCCCCCATGGGGACAAGAACCTCCACAAAGAACCCACAGGACTTTTGATGAAGTCAGGGTATTGGGTGATTTGGCCTGGGTCCCCTCCTCTCTCTTGGCACCTGACCCCGGGGGGCTGTGTGGGAAGGGGTGGCCCTCAGGCAGGACGGACTGGGGACAGGAGGGGGACCCAAGAGAGCCGCTTCCCCTGAAATGCTGGCAGGAGAGTGGGGCTGAGGTCCTCTGTCGGGTGTAAGGAGCCTTGAGTGTGGTTCCTGAGCCAAGACCTGGGCCCAGCTATGGGACTGCAGGAACAACATCTTCGCCCAGGATCAACCACGGCTGGGGTGACAGTGCCTTCTGAAGGCTCCCTTCCATGGCTGTCATTACCGCGCCCCATCAGGGCCTGGCCTAGTGTCTTCTCCACTGGTGTGGAAGGGCTGGTGGGGGCCCCAACTCCCCGCAGCCACTCTCTGAGGCTGTCTCTGCCCATAGGCTTGTCCTGGGAGGAGTGTAAGCAGCGCTGCCCGCCCGGCGTCGTGCCCGCTTGCCACAACTCCAAGGACACGGTGACCATCTCGGGACCACAGGTGGGCCCTGGGAAGCCAGGCCTTGTCCCCAAGTCCCCTCCCCGTCCCTCAGGGCGTGTTCTGTCAGGAGCCTGGTGGATAGCCCAGGACCGCTCATCCAGCCCACTGGAACCCCCTGCCCCCAGGCTGCCGTGTCTGAGTTCGTGGAGCAGCTGAAGCAGGAGGGCGTGTTTGCCAAGGAGGTGCGGACTGGCGGCCTGGCCTTCCACTCTTACTTCATGGACTCCATCAGCCACACCCTGCTGCAGGCACTCAAGAAGGTGGGCTGACCGCCCTGGGGGGCTGCCTGGAGGGGGCCTCCTGGAGACAGGGCGGTGGGACTGGGTCCGGAGGGAGTCCCCTCTCAGCTGACTGGCCTTGTGCGCAGGTGATCCGGGAGCCGCGGCCCCGCTCGGTGCGCTGGCTCAGCACCTCCATCCCCGAGGCCCAGTGGCAGAGCAGCCTGGCCCGCACCTTCTCCGCTGAGTACAATGTCAACAACCTGGTCAGCCCAGTGCTGTTCCAGGAAGCGCTGTGTCATGTGCCTGAGCACGCTGTGGTGCTGGAGATCGCTCCCCACGCCCTGCTGCAGGTGCGCCCTGCCAGGGGCTGGGGCGGGGCAGGGCTGGCTGGTTCCAGGAGGGGTGGCGGTCTTGGGGCACCAGGGCAGGGGCCAAGGGAAGCTGAGGGTCCGAGCTCGGGGGCATGTCAGGGTCACCAGGCTCTGCGTGACCTGTGGGGCCGGATGGGATCCAATCGGAGCGAGGCCCCAACCCCTCTCTGCCCCACACAGGCCGTGCTAAAGAGAGGCCTCAAGCCCAGCTGCACCATTGTCCCCCTGATGAAGAAGGACCACAGGGACAACCTGGAGTTCTTCCTCAGCAACGTGGGCAGACTCCACCTGATGGGGTGGGTTTGTCGCCCTTGCTGGGCCCTGTGGTGGGGGGACCCCAGGTTTCCCTGGGCAGATCTACACCATACTTCTCTTCGGCAGCAGGGGCAGGGAGGCATGTAAACAGGGCCACAGGGTCACCTTCAGTTCGTCCCCAGGAAGCAGGCAGTGGGTGTTGGGCCACCTCAAGCACCCTCACTGTGGCCTGCACCCCCACCCCACCCCACCCCAATTTGGCATCTGGGGTCTTAGGTTTGACGATTGGCCATGGTGTAACAGGGTGGTCCCAGGGCCCCCGAGGCCAGGTGGGCCCCTCACACCTGGCTGCCACCCCCCAGCATCGACGTCAACCCCAACGGCCTGTTCCCACCCGTGGAGTTCCCGGCTCCCCGGGGGACCCCACTCATCTCCCCACACATCAAATGGGACCACAGCCAGACCTGGTATGTGCCCTCTGCCAAGGACTTCCCTAGTGGGTCCAGCTGCTCCTCCTCCACCGTCTACAACATTGGTGAGCAGAGTGTGGGGATGGGCAGGGGTGGCCGGGGCTCGGCTCCTTCCTCCCGGGCACTGGCACTGAAGCCTGTGCCCGCACAGACGCCAGCCCCGAGTCCCCCGACCACTACCTGGTGGACCACTGCATTGACGGCCGCACTCTCTTCCCTGCCACTGGCTACCTGTGTCTGGTCTGGAGGACACTGGCTCATGCCCTGGGCGAGAACCTGGAGCAGATGCCAGTGGTGTTTGAGGATGTGACGCTGTACCAGGCCACCATCCTGCCCAAGACAGGTGAGGCGGGTGACCGCGGTGGTAGGGTGGGAGTGCTGACCTCTGACCTCTGCTGCTGACCTTTGATCCTGTTGCCCACAGGGACCATGCCCCTGGAGGTACGGCTTCTGGAGGCCTCCCACACATTCGAGGTGTCTGAGAATGGCACCCTGATAGTGAGCGGTGAGTCGGGGGGCCCGGCCAAGCTGCACCGTCCCCAGTGGGGGTGTCTCTGGGTGGGTCCCTGGCTGTCAACTTGGGCCTTCCCCGCCCTGAGGCCCTTCTGCCACCCCGCCCACAGGGAAGGTGTACCAGTGGGACAACCCCAACCCCAAGCTCTTCGACAACCGAGATAGCCTGGACCCTGCAGACCCCACTGACCCCACAGCCACGTTCCACCTGGCCCAGGGGGACGTGTACAAGGAGCTGCGGCTGCGTGGCTATGACTACGGCCCTCACTTCCAGGGCATCCTCAAGGCCAACCTCGAAGGTGGGACGTGAGGGGTTCCCCACTTAATACTCAGGGAACAAGCTCTGGGGTGCCTCCCTTGAGACCAGACCAGGCCTGACCTACTTCTGAGCATCCAGGTGCCATGTGACTGCACCATCACCCGTGCCAGGTGGAGTGGGGCAGTCATAGGCATGAGGGGACCAGTGGGGCACCCCAAGTCAGGATACATGGAGGGGAGCGTCTGTGGGTGCAAGAGACCTGACCCAGCCACGGCGATGGCCCCTCATGCTGCAGGCAACACAGGCCAGCTGCTGTGGAAGGACAACTGGGTGACGTTCTTGGACACCATGCTGCAGATGTCCATCCTTGGCTCAGCCCAGCGCAGCCTGCGCCTGCCCACGCGCATTGCCGCCATCCACATCGACCCCGCCACCCACCAGCAGAAGGTGTACACGCTGCAGGGCGAGGCCCAAGGTAGCCAGCCCCGGCCTCCACACCCCTGTGTCCCTGCGCCCCTGCGCCAGGCGCTGCCCACACTCACCACCTTGTTGTTGCCCTGCAGTGGCTGACTTGGTGGTGGACAGCTGTCTGAGCAGCACAGTGGCTGGGGGTGCCATCATCTCTCGGCTCCATACCTCACTGGCCCCACGGCGGCAGCAGGAACAGCTCGCACCCACCCTGGAGAAGTTTTGCTTCACGCCGCACGTGGAGGGGGGCTGCCTAGCTGGGAGCGCCACCCTGCAGGAGGAGCTGCAGCTGTGCAAGGGTGAGGCCTGTGCCGACCGCCCACATCCCAGGGCCAAGCCCACGGCGCCTGTGCTCCATCCTCCATCTGCTGCCCTCTGCAGGGAACCCACCCTCTGCAGGGCTGATGGGCGGCAAGGCAGCTCCTGCCCCGAGGCCCCAAGCAGCCCCTTGATGCCCACCCGGTGGTCCCGATGGTCCTTGGCCCTGGAGGACTGGGCTGCCCGCTGCATAACTCCATCTGTTTGCTTGTCCAGTGGGCAGGGCTGGGGGGTGAGCCATGGTAGGACAGGGCCAGCCACTTGTGTCCTGGTTGCAGCTGAGTCCCTAGTCCAAGCAGACGTGCTGCCGGAGGGCTTGGGGAACACCAGGCTATCTGAGGCCCCTCCCTAGCACCTATCTCTCCCCTCCCCAGGGCTGGCTCAGGCGCTGCAGGTCAAGGTGGCCCAGCAGGGCCTCAAGATGGTGGTGCCAGGGTTGGACGGGGCACAGGTCCCCCGGGAGTCCCCACAGCAGGGCCTGCCTCGACTGCTGGCAGCTGCCTGCCAGTTACAGCTCAATGGGAACCTGCAGCTGGAGCTGGGCCAGGTGCTAGCCCAGGAGAGCCCCCTGCTGTGTGACGACCCCCTGCTCAGCGGGCTCCTCGACTCCCCAGCGCTCAAAGCCTGCGTGGACACTGCCTTGGAGAACGTGGCCAGCCTCAGGATGAAGGTGGTGGAGGTGGGTGCCAAGCAGGGCAGTCGGGCACAGGGCGTGTGGATCCAGATCCAGGCACAACCAAGCCTAAGGAGCACCAGGGCACCCATCTGACACGAGATCGCCCCATTAGAGATTTTGCTGAGGCTGCCTTGGACGTTCTTTCCTATTTCACTCTGAATGCTGAAGGAGGAGGGGACAGGGAAGGGATGATGATGGTGGGCCTCGGGGGGCACCACAGACAGGGACGATGCTGGCAGGCAGTCTTGTCAGCAGGGGTGGTGAGTGCGCCTTTCTGGCAGATGTGCGCCAAGTCTGGGGGGGCACACCTGTCTGGCGGCAGCTGATTCAGCAAGCTGTCCCCGCAGGTGTTGGCTGGTGATGGCCACCTGTATTCCCGCATCCCGGCGTTGCTTACCACCCAGCCCATGCTGCAGCTGGACTACACAGCCACTGACCGCCACGCCCAGGCCCTGAAGGCTGCCCAGGCCAAGCTGCAGCAGCACCACGTGGCCCAGGGCCAGTGGGACCCCATGGACCCTGCCCCTAGCAGCCTGGGTGCCACCGACCTCCTGGTGTGCAACTGCGCTGTGGCCACCCTCGGCGACCCAGCCACGGCCCTCGGGAACATGGCGGCTGTCCTCAAGGAGGGCGGCTTCCTGCTGCTGCACACCCTTCTCAGAGGATACCCCCTTGGAGAGATGGTCGCCTTCCTTACCTGCCCCGAGCCCCAGAGAGGCAGGCAGGGCCTCCTGAGCCAGGTGCGGGGGCGCAGCAGGGCCTGGGGAGGGCCAGGGGAGGCTGGCTGAGCACTGACCACCTCTCTACACATGCAGGACGAGTGGGAGAGCCTGTTTGCTGGGGCATCCCTGCGCCTAGTGGCCCTGAAGAAGTCCTTCTATGGCTCTGTCCTCTTCCTGTGCCGCCGGCCAGCCCCACAGGACAGCCCCATCTTCCTGCCTGTGGAGGACATGAGCTTCCGATGGGTGGACTCACTGAAGGTCAGTCCCCGCTGGGCCCCCCAGACCCAAGCCTGGGTACCCAGCACTGCATGCATGGGCCTTGGGACCCTCCCAGAGGCCAATCCTTCCCTCGTCCCACAGAACATTCTGGCCGACTTGTCCTCTCGGCCCGTGTGGCTGACGGCCGTCAGCTGCAGCACCTCAGGCGTCATAGGCATGGCCAACTGTCTCCGCAAAGAGCCTGGCGGGCACCGGATTCGGTGAGAGTCGCTGAGCTGTGTGCCCCTCTCCTCCCCTCCCCGCCTACCACCTGACCTCCTCCTTCTCTTTCCTGTTTCCCCCTCCCCTTCTCCCTCTCCCCTCACCAATCTGGCCACCCACAGGTGCATCCTGGTGTCCAACCTCAGCAACACGTCCCCCGTCCCCAAGATGGACCCGAGCTCCTCAGAGCTGCAGAAGGTGCTACAGGGGGACCTGGTGATGAATGTCTACCGAGATGGGGCCTGGGGGACCTTCCGCCACTTCCCACTGGAGCAAGGTGAGCCCCCAAGATGATGCCCTGCCCCCATCAGGCTCCTCACTTTGCAGCTGGGTGGGCTGAGGAGGAGGGAGCTGGGAGGACTCTGGCCAGGAAGCCCCGCCCAGCACGGGGCCGGTCCATGGCCCCTGGCAGCCCCACTTCTGTCACCCCAGACCAGCCAGAGGAGCAGACAGAGCATGCCTTCATCAATGTCCTCACCCGCGGGGACCTCTCCTCTATCCGCTGGGTCTGCTCCCCGCTGCGCCACGCCCAGCACCCGGGTCCCGGCCTCCAGCTCTGCACCGTGTACTATGCCTCCCTCAACTTCCGAGACATCATGCTGGCCACGGGCAAGCTGTCGCCTGATGCCATCCCAGGTACAGGCATCACACAGCTAGCAGCTGGGGGGAGGTAAACCAAGGCCTCAGGCCAGGACCTGGGAAGAGAGGGCTCCTCACCCCACACTGCTGCACGGGCCCATCTTGGGGAGATATGAGCCTCATCCAACATCTGCCCCCAGGGAAGTGGGCCGCCCGGGACTGCATGCTGGGCATGGAGTTCTCTGGCCGAGATGCCAGTGGGAAGCGTGTGATGGGGCTGGTGCCCGCTGAAGGCCTGGCCACCTCCGTCCTGCTGTCTCAGGACTTCCTGTGGGACGTGCCTTCCTGCTGGTGAGTCAGTTGGGGCCATGAGGCTGGGACCCCACACAGACGTGGCCTTGGGTCAGGCCTGAGTTGACCCCATTTACTATGCCCGCAGGACCCTGGAGGAGGCAGCTTCCGTGCCCGTTGTCTATACCACTGCCTACTACTCGCTGGTGGTGCGCGGGCGTGTGCGGCGTGGGGAGACGGTGCTCATCCACTCCGGCTCAGGGGGCGTGGGCCAGGCTGCCATTGCCATTGCTCTTAGCCTGGGCTGCCGTGTCTTCACCACCGTGGGTAAGCCCTCCTACCTGTCCTGGAGCCCGGGGCTGCCTCTCCAACCCACGCTGCCCCTGGGGCTGCCCTTCCAGCCCCCAAAGTCCAGACTCAGCAGCATGTGCCTCTCCCTGCCAGGGTCAGCTGAGAAGCGGGCGTACCTCCAGGCCAGGTTCCCCCAGCTCAACGACACCAGCTTTGCCAACTCCCGGGACACGTCCTTTGAGCAGCATGTGCTGCGGCACACAGCTGGGAAGGGTGAGCAGTGGCCTTGCTGACCCCCCATCACCCACCATCCACCGTCCACCGTCCACTCGCACTCCCGCCCTTCTTCCATTCCCATCCTCACTGGCTGAGCTGGAGGAGACACTGGCCCAGAGAGAGATAGCATCTGGCCCTCTGGACTTGTGTCAGGTGGGCTGGACAGCAGTCATGACCGTGAGGATCCCTCTTCCCCACCCAAGGTGTTGACCTGGTCCTGAACTCCCTGGCGGAAGAGAAGCTGCAGGCCAGTGTGCGGTGCCTGGCCCAGCATGGCCGCTTCCTGGAAATCGGCAAATTCGATCTGTCCAACAACCACCCCCTGGGTGAGGCTGGGCAGCGGGCTGGGTGAGTGGGCAGAGCAGGTCTGCAGGGTGGGCTATGAGCCCTATGGGCTGACCCCTCCACCTGCCCACCTAGGCATGGCCGTTTTTCTGAAAAATGTGACCTTCCATGGGATCCTGTTGGATGCGCTCTTCGATGAAACTAGCTCCGACTGGCAGGAGGTGGTGGCACTGGTGCGGGCGGGCATCCAGGACGGCGTGGTGCAGCCCCTCAAGTGCACTGTATTCCCCAAGACCCAAGTGGAGGACGCCTTCCGCTACATGGCCCAGGGGAAGCACATTGGCAAAGTGGTCGTCCAGGTGAGGAGGGACCCGGACACCGCTGGCTCTGGCCCCTATGGGCGGCACATGAGCAGGGGTGCTCCTTGGCCTGCAGGTGCGTGAGGAGGAGCCGGAGGCGGTGCTGCAGGAGGTGAAGCCCACCCGGATGGTGGCTCTGTCCAAGACCTTCTTCCCAGCCCACAAGAGCTATGTCGTCGTGGGGGGCCTGGGCGGGTTTGGCCTTGAGCTGGCCCAGTGGCTGGTGCTGCGAGGGGCCCAGAAGCTGGTGCTGACCTCCCGCTCAGGGATCCGCACGGGTGAGTGGGCCTGAGGGCACATATGGGTGGGGCAGCAGGAGGGATGCCTGGTCAGCCTCGCCCTCGAGTTCTCTCAGGGCACCTGGGCTCTGGAGCCAGAAGCCTGGTTTGCCCGGCCCTACTGTCCCATGTCCCACAGGCTACCAGGCCAAGCAGGTCCGTGAGTGGAGGCGCCAGGGTGTGCAGGTCCTAGTATCCACCTGCAATGCCAGCTCGCTGGATGGGGCCCGGGGCCTCATTGCCGAGGCCGCACAGCTTGGGCCTGTGGGAGGCGTCTTCAACCTGGCCATGGTGAGTGCGGCCCTGAAGGATTCGGCTCCCCACGGAAGTGTTGTCTCTCACATCCCCCACCACGCAGTCTGAGCCTGGAAGTCCTGGGCCAGAGTAGGCACTGAGGATCCCTCATCCCCAGGTCCTGAGAGATGCCATGCTGGAGAACCAGACCCCTGAGCTCTTCCAGGACGTCAACAAGCCCAAGTACAACGGCACCCTGAATCTGGACAGGTGGGGCATGTGCCATACCCATACTCCCACCCCACCCTGCCCCCTGCCACACAACAGCCTGGCTCTGACCCAGCTGGTCCAGGGAGCGGCCGCCTCTCCTCCCTGTGCCCTGCCCCGCTCTTCCCCACACAGTGCTCCCCACACCATCCAGAGACCATACCACAGGCCTCTGCTGGGGTCTGAGTCGAGGGTCCGGGGAAGGAGAGGAAGTTAAGAGAGTGGGCAGGGGCTCCTGCACATATTGGGGGGGCTAGGGTAGCCGGCCTGGGTGTGACTTGAGCACCTGCAGGGTGACCCGAGAGACATGCCCCGAGCTCGACTACTTTGTCGCCTTCTCCTCGGTGAGCTGCGGGCGCGGCAACGCCGGCCAGACCAACTACGGCTTCGCCAACTCCACCATGGAGCGCATATGCGAGAAGCGCAGGCATGACGGCCTCCCAGGTGGGCCCTGCCCCCCACGCCTTGCCCTGCCTTCACCTACCACCTGCCACCCCATTGTTATCCCTGCTCATCTGCCCACCGGCCCCCCTCACCTGCAGGCCTCGCCGTGCAGTGGGGCGCCATTGGTGATGTGGGCATCATCCTGGAGGCGATGGGCGCCAACGACACGGTCATCGGTGGGACACTGCCACAGCGCATTGCCTCCTGCCTCGAGGTGCTGGATCTTTTCTTGAACCAGCCACATCCCGTCCTGAGCAGCTTTGTGCTAGCCGAGAAGAAGGCTGCAGCCCACAGTGACAGCAGCAGCCAGCAGGACCTGGTGAAGGCCGTGGCTCACATCCTGGGTGAGGGAGCATGCCATGCCCCCCACTGGCAGACCCTCAGCTCCCCCGAGCTTCAGTTTCCCCAGCTGAAGGGGGCATGCTTGCTTGCTCGCAGAGAGATGCAAGTAGTTTGTGCAGAGCTGAGAGGGTTTCCTGCTGCAACCGTGGTGATGGTTTGGGGAGACTAGGGGTGTCTCACTCATGAGGCCCAGCCACCAGGGTGCCATTACCCACCCAGGGCCTGTCCCCACTTCCCCTCCCAAACTGCTAACTGAGCGAGTGACTCTCCCCAGGCATCCAAGACTTGGCCACCATCAACTTGGACAGCTCACTGGTGGACCTGGGCCTGGACTCACTCATGGGCGTAGAGGTGCGCCAGACACTGGAGCGCGAGCATGACATGGTGCTGTCCATGCGGGACATCCAGCAGCTCACTCTCCGGAAGCTGCAGGAGCTTTCTTCACAGACCTGCATGGCTGATGGTGCGTGGGAGCGGGGGACCTGGAGGAAATGAGGAGACGCCTGGGCCACTGTGGCCCATCCTCCTCTCCTCTGGGTCTAAGGTGTGTGTCCCTGGAGGGCCCCCACCAGCTCAGGGCTTGTCCACCTGGCCCCTTTCTGAGAGTGCTCAGTGGGGACCCAGTGTCCCCCAGTCAAATCCCGCCCTGGCCACCAGCAGCCCCAGTCAGGTGTGCATCTGTGAGTTTGTGTGTGGGGAACCTGTGCTGTCCCGCTCTCCCTGGCATGTGCCCCTCCTCGCAGAGCTGGCAGCCCCCACACCCAAGGAAGACGGCCTCACCAGGCAGCAGGCCCAGCTGAACCTGAGCACCCTCCTGGTAAACCCTGAGGCCCCGACCTTGACGCGGCTCAACTCAGTGCAGAGTTCCGAGCGGCCCCTGTTCCTGGTGCACCCCATTGAGGGCTCCATCACTGTGTTCCACAGCCTGGCCACCAAGCTCAGCATCCCCACCTACGGCCTACAGTGCACCAAAGGTGCGTCATGGTCCTGCAGGGCTGCCCCCACCCACCCATCAAGGTGGGCCTCCCATGCCCCCAGAACAAGAGGGGTGGGGCCTCCCCTCCCCGCAACGAGGCAGGGGCACTACCCGTGCCACCCTGGGGCACCTCCTGCCAGCAGCTGAGCTTTGTGCCTCCCGCAGCTGCTCCCCTGGATAGCATCCAGAGCCTGGCTGCCTACTACATTGAGTGCATCAGGCAGGTGCAGCCCGAGGGGCCCTACCGCATCGCCGGCTACTCCTACGGGGCCTGCGTGGCCTTTGAGATGTGCTCACAGCTGCAGGCACAGCAGAGCTCGGCCCCCGCACACAACAGCCTCTTCCTGTTCGACGGCTCGCACGCCTATGTCCTGGCGTACACGCAGGTGAGGGCAACCTCGGCTCTCCCCTGGCTCTGGTCCCAGGACATCCCCAACCCCCATGGCTGCAGCAGCTCCTTCTCCCTTTACAGAGCTACCGTGCCAAGCTGACGCCCGGCTGTGAGGCAGAGGCCGAGACTGAGGCCATGTGCTTCTTCATACAGCAGTTCACGGATGCTGAGCACAGCAGGGTGGGTCCCTGGGGAGCTGGCAGTAGGGGTGGGGGCGTCTCTCCTGGAACCCGCACAGTGAAGGCTTCCAGACCTGTCATCCCTGGTGCCGAGCCCCTGACCCAGGGAGGGAGGGAACTGTGGTGTGGGTGCACCTGCTCAGAGTCCTGTCCCGCAGGTGCTGGAGGCGCTGCTGCCCCTCAAGGGCCTGGAGGAGCGCGTGGTGGCTGCCGTGGACCTGATTGTGCAGAACCACGCGGGCCTGGACCGCCGTGTGCTCAGCTTTGCTGCACGTTCCTTCTACTACAAGCTGCGCGCTGCTGAGCAGTACATGCCGCGGGCCACCTACCATGGCAACGTGACGCTGCTGCGCGCCAAGACGGGCAGCGCCTACAGCGAGGACCTGGGCGCTGACTACAACCTGTCCCAGGTGTGCGACGGCAAGGTGTCTGTGCACGTCATCGAGGGGGACCACCGCACGCTGCTGGAGGGCAGCGGCCTGGAGTCCATCCTCAGCATCATCCACAGCTCCCTGGCTGAGCCGCGCGTCAGTGTGCGGGAGGGATAGTGTGACCCTGCTGCCATGCTGCCCCCTCCCATGCCACCCCCACTGTCCTGCAGGGCTGGCGAAGTCCTGCCGGTGGGACCTCGCCCTGCCCCGCCTCCCTGGTCCAGACCGCTGACTCCACCCCACGCCGTTGCCTGCGGCTGGCCTCTAATCAACACCGCACCCTCATGGGGGATCCTCCCAACTAGGCACCTCAGCCTCCACCTCCCATGGGACCACCTCTTATGGGCACCCTCCGTGGATGTCTGGGCCCACCACCTCCCATGGGGACCTCATGCATGTCCACCTCCCATGGGCATCTCACGTGGGCACAGGGCCGGGACCGTGCCCCTGACTTGGAGACCTGCCCTGGTCTGTGAAGAGTCGGCCAAGCCAGGCCCAGCCTTCTGTACCACGTGGGGTCTCCCACGTGGGTCTGTTTGTCATTTTCCTGAATGCTCCTATTTATTGTGTCACTGAGGAAATGCCAGGCCTCATCCACCGGGTGAAGGCTGGCACTGGGGTCCATTCTCAGCCAGGCTGGCGCTGGAGCCCACAGCCCTGGGGCCCCCATGATGCAGGGGCCTGTGGAGCGGAGCAGCCCCAGGGCTTGATGGGCAACCTCTCTGTGTTCGTCTGTGTTCCTTTTTCAAGAAACATGATTCAAATTGCTGCGTGGATTTTGAAATTTCCTGTCAACTATCAGTGTAAAGAACCATGTCTGGATCCTTATTTCATTTTTACACCAACCTGGTAAAAATGCTGCTCTCCTTGGAGCCTCCCCACGATTAAACCACACGTGAGCTCTGGCCTCTGGTCATCCTTTCTTCCCTCCCTCCTGACCAGCCGTGGAGGGGACTCTCCTCTGCTCCCCAAGGCCCTCTAGCACAATTCCAAGGACACAGGAGGGAGAGGGGCAGCGCCTGGCTCCAGAAACAGGCTGGACGCCCCCTGGAGGGCTGCAGGCTGCCTGGACAGCAGTGGGACTCTACCAGAGAAACAACCAGTAGGAGACAGATGTGCATTCTGTTAATAGGTGCATTGGAAGGAGTCACTAGCACCGTGTAGGGGACTCCCTAGGGCAAATCCTGCCAGAATTCCTTATTCCTCAGGGAGACCTTGGGTTTGCTCTCCTGGGCTTCAACTGATTAGGGAGAGTAATCTTTACTTGAAGTCAGCAGACGTAGATGTGAGCCACATGGACAAAATACCTTCACAGCAACACCTAGACCAGTGTTTGCATAACTGGCCAAGTTGAAAGGAAGAGTGACCATCACATGGGTTTAGGCAAAGAGTGGAGGCTGGATGGGAGGGTGACAGGGACAGGGAGGCCACCTGAGCCCCCAAGAGCCAGAGTGACCTGGACACAAACCACTGGACTCACTGGGGTGGGGGGTTCTGGGCTGACTGGTGGTGGTGAGCTAGGGCAGGGAGAGCTGGATCCTGCAATGGGGACAGGGTGCGAGGGCCAGGACTGCATACGGGGGGAAGAGCAGGCCCACCTCCAGGCTTCTAGGAGGATGTGTTGAGCCCAGAGACAGAGCAGGGGCCCTTCCATGTTCCTCAGAAAATTTAACATAGAGCTATATGCCCCTAAGAATTGAAAACGGACTCAGATAGTTGTACAACAATGTTCATATCTGAATCACTCTTATCCACAATCCCCAAGTGTCCATCAACCAATGAATGGATATACAAATGTGGACTATCCATATTGTGGAACACTATTCAGCCGTAAAAAGGAATGAAGTTCTGAGACATGCCACGACATGAATCAACCTTGAAAACACGTTAACAGTAGTGAGAAGATTTATGGAGTAGGCATATTAATATAGGACAAAGTAGACTCCAGAGCAAAAACTATACTGGGGGATAAAAGGGTCATTTCATAATAAAGGAGTAAAGTAATCCAAAGGAGGTAACAATCCTAAATTTTATGCCCCTATAACAGCTCCAAATCACAGGAAGCAAAAGATATAGATCTTCAAGGAGAAACAGACCAATCTACAATTAAAGTTAGATTTCAAAACCCCAATCTCAGTCATGGATAGAACAAGCAGGTAGAAAACAAGGATGTAAAAGACTTGGGCAATACCATCAACCAGTCTGACCTAACAGACGTTTCTAGAACACTTCACCCAACAACAGCAGAATGTACATTCTTTTCAAATTCACATGGAACACTTACCAAGATAGTGCACATTCTGGGTCATAAAACCAGTAGTAATAAGTTCAAAAGAATTCAATTTCTGTGAACTATTTTCTCTATGACTAAATTAAATTAGAATCAATAGCAAAGAGATCTCTAGAATATCCTCAAGTATTTAGAAACCAAATAGCACACTCCTGAATAAGCCATGGGATAAGAAGAAATCAAAAGAAATTAGAAAATATTTTGAACTGAATGAAAATGAAAACACAGCAGTCCAAAATTTATGGGATGCAGCTAAAGCAGTGTTTAGGGGAAATTTATAGCACTGAAGGCCTATGTCAAGAAAGAAGAAATACCTCAAATTAGTAACTTAAAATTCTACCTTAAGAATTTAACAAAAAGAAGAGCAAATGAAACCCACACTAACCAGAATAAAGGAAATAATACACGTCAGAGTGAAAATCAATTAGAAAACAGAAAATTAATGAAACCAAAAGCTAGTTCTTGTAGAAATCCAATAATTCATAAACCTCAAACCAGGTTGAGCTGGAAAAAACAGAGAAGACATAAATTACCACTATCAGAAATGACATCACTGGTATTCTACATATATTAAGAGGCTAAGAAGGGAATGTTGTGAACAACTTTATTCCAAACAATTGGACTATTTATATGAAATAAACAAATTCCACACAAGACACAAAGTCAACAAGAAATAGATTGCCTGAATAACCCTGCATCTATTGAAGAAAATGAATTTGTAGTTAAAAACCTTTAAGCAAAGAAAACTCCAGACCTGAAGGGCAAATTCTACCAAGTGTGTAAGAGAAAAATATTACCCATTCTACCCAAGCTCATCTAGAATTTTGGAAAAGAAACCAGTTTCAACACATTCAAAAGAACTCAACTTCCATAAAATTGTCTTGGGACGTCTTAGTCTGCTCTGGCTGCCATAACAAACACCGTGGACTGAGGGGCTTCAACCATGGTTTATTTTCTCATGGTTAAAATAACCATGGTTATTTTAAGTTTATTTTCTCACAGTTCTAGAGCCTGGGAAGTCCAAAATCAAGGTTCCTGCCAATTGGGTTCCTGGTGAGAGCCCTCTCCCTGGCTTGCAGACAGCTGCCTTCTTGCTGTGTCCTCACATGGCAGAAAGAGAGAGAGCATGAGCCCTGGTGCCTCCTCCTCTTCTCAGAAGGACACCAATCCTGTTGGATTAGGGCCCCACCCTTATGACCTCATCGAACCTTTATGACCTCCTCATAGGCCCTCTCTCCAAATACTGTCACATTGGGGGTTAGGGCTTCACATGAATTTGGGGGGACACAATTCAGTCTATAGCAGGGAATAAGTTACAACTCTTCTATGGGGCCAGCACTACTTTGATTACTTTGCTAATGACTAAGACATTACAAGAAAAAAAAACAATATCCATCATGATCACACAAGCAAAAATTCTAAACAAAATTTTAGCAAATAGTATCACATAATATACTAAAGGATAATACACCATGACCAAAGGGGGTTCATCCAAGGTATACAAGGCTGGTTCAACATTCAAAAATCAATATAACTCACCATATTAATGATCAAAAAAATTATCATCTCAGTGGATGCAGAAAACAGCATCTATTGAGCACAGAAGCACAAAATCTAACACCCATTCATGATAAAAACTCTCAGCCAACTACAAACAGAAGGAAACTACCTCAACCTGACCTCTTATGGGAGTAAACGTTTTCCCTCTCAGATCAGGAACAAAGCAGAGATTCCCAATCTCACCACTGCCACTCAACGTTGTACTGAAAGTTCTAGCCAGTGCGGGAAGTCCAAGAAAGGAAATAAAAGGCATCCAGATTAGAAAAGGAGAAATGAAACTGACCCTATTTGCAGACAACATGACTGTCTTTGTAGAAAAGCTGATGGAATCTACAAAAAACTACTAGAACTGAGGAGTGAGTTTAGGGAGATTTCAGGAGAGAAGAGCAATACACAAAACTAAATTGTATAATTATTACAAGTAATGAACAAGCAGAAATTGATACTAAAAAATCAATACCATTTATAATAGCATCAAAAAATAAGAAATAGGGATAAATGTGATAAAAGATGTGTGAGACTGTCCACTGAAAACTATAATACACTGCTGAAAGCAATTAAAGACAGCCTAAGCAAACAGAGAGATATACTGTGTTCACGGGTTAGAAGACTCAATATTAAGATACAAATTCTCTCCAAATTGATCTATAGTTGCAATGCAATCCATATCAAAATCCCAACAGGCTTCCTGTAGGAATTGACAAGCTGATTCTAAACTTCCCGGGGCAATGCAAAGGATCTAGAATAGCCAGTACAATGTGATGTAGAACAACAAAGTTGGAGAAGGTGCACTGCTTGATTTCAAGGTTTTTCAAGATGTATAATAAAGCTAAAATCATCAGGACAGGGTGTTTTTGACATCAAGATACATAAGTAAATCAATGGAACAAAATAGTGAGTCAAGAAATAGGCTCACACATGTATGGACACCTGATTTTTAACAAAGATGCAAAGGCAATTCCATGCAGAAAGAATTGTCTTTTCAACAAATGGTCCTGGAATAGTTAGATATCCATATGCAAAAATAAAGTAAAAAGAAAGAAAGAAAGGAAAAAAGAACGTGGATGGGAATGCAAACTGGTGCAGCCACTATGGAAAACAGTATGGAGATTCCTCAAAAAATTAAAAATAGAGCTACCATATGACCCAGCTATCCCACTACTGGGTATCTATCCAAAGAACTTGAAATCAACAATCCAAAGTGACCTATGCACCCTTATGTTCACTGCAGCACTATTCACAATAGCCAAGACATGGACACAATCCAATTGCCCATCGACTGATGATTGGATAAAGAAGATGTGGTGTATACAAATATATACAATGGAATACTACACAGCCATAAAAAAGACAAATTCATCCCATTTGCAATAACATGGAGGAAATTATGCTAAGCAAAATAAGCCAGTCTGAAAAAGACAAACACCAGATGATTTCACTCATATGTGGACTATAAACAAACACACAGACAAAGAAAACAGTTCAGTGGTTACCCGGGGAAGGGTAGTGGGGGGTGGGCACAGGGGGTGAAGGGGAGCACCTATGAGGTGACAGTCAAGAAATGATGTACAACTGAAATCTCACATTGATGTAAACTATTATGAACTCAATAAAAAAAAAAGCACGTGGATCCATGTCTCACACAAAAATGAACTCAAAATGGATCACAGACTTAAATGTAAATTGCAAAATTATAAAACTTCTACAAGTAAATACAAGAGAAAATCTTTGTGAACTTGGGTTAGGCAAAGGTATCTTAGCTATGACACCAAAAGCACTGTCAATAAGATAATAAACTGTTAAATTGGATTTTATCAAAGTTTGATTACTTCTACTCTTTCAAAGACACTGTAAAATGAACGAAAAGTCACAGACTATGAGAAAGTGTTTGCAAATACATATCTGATAGAGGACATGTATCCAGAATATAGAAAGAACTCTCAAAATTCAAGAAAAAGAAAACAAACAATTTAATTTTTTTTAAAATAGGCAAAAGATTTGAAACAGACATTTCAGCAACAAAGATATACAGATAGCAAATAAGCACATGAAGGG